ACTGTTGCTGATGGTCATGCATGCCCAAAGACACACACCCAGTCTACACTGGAGCAAAAATCTGGATTAGGATAAGAATCAAAACCCAAAACCCTAGCTGTCTCCTACTCATCCTTCATCTCACCAACCTGATGTCTTGCCAATGAAGTTGCTGCTTCTAGGTCTAACATCAAAGTAATTTACAGTTTACAAAATGCTCTTACACATAACGCAGGCAGGCGTGTGGCCACTTAGGAGGTATCTCCACGACACTGGGAAGTAACCTGACCCTGAGTCTAGTCAGCTCACTTTTCTCCCTGCTTAAGCCATTCTGCATACTCCTACAGCTCTGGAGGCTGAGACAGGAGGATCACAGGCTGAAGGGCAGCCTGGGCTGCATAGCAAGTTCAAGCAGGGCTTGAACTACATAGTGAGACCCTGTCTCAAGAAATAAACAAAAAAGCAAACAAACAACCACAAGCCTTCGTCTGACTTAAAACAGTCTGCAAAGTCAGTCCAAAAGCCTCAGTGTGGTGTTCTTGGCCTCAGTTTCCCAATCTTTCTTGTACTTGGTGCTCCAGCCATGGAGAATTCCTTGCAGTTCCCCCAAACCAATGGCCACTCCATGCCTCTGCACCTTCCCCCTACTCTATGTCCCCTTCCCGCCCGCACTCCAAGCTGAGGCTGGAGAATCCCCACCCACTGCCCATCTCGTGCCTGCGGAACCCCTCTTTACCTTTTCTAGACTCTAGCAATGCCTACTTCCTCTCCAACTTTTGATGCCCTTACATAGCAGCAATACCTGCACAATCTGAGGTGAGAATCCGGGCAGCTGTAGTGACATCTGATGTCGTAGTGAACGCAGATCAACCCCTCCAGATCTTTCCACCCAAAAATTAATTAAAAATCTAGCCCATCTTAATAGTGACCACTTATAAGTGGCTATAGAACCCAACACATTTCAGTATTACCCGAAATCCTCTCCGCTCACCTGAGTAGCCGGGGACTTGGCTCACACATGAGCCAGCTTCTGCACACACATCAGGTTGAAGCTGCCTTGCCTAATGGATCGGTAACTGGTAGAGCTTTGCCCAGCTCCTTCTGAGAGGGAGCCACACAGAATCCAGCAGGAGTCGGCTCTTGCGTGTGAGCGCCTGGCGTGGGAGCCTCTGTTGGTCTCAGTGCCCCCAGGCTGCCAGGGCTGTCCCTCCAGGCTCCACCTAGACAGTCTTTATTCGGTCCCCTCTCCCTCTCCTCACTGCCCTGCTACCATTAGGACCTTCCAGGGCGTATCTTTCCTCCACAGGCAGTAACCTGTTAGCTGATTAACACTCAGGAATGGGCCTGTGCTCCTAGCTTACCTGCTAGTTCTCTCCGTCCGCATGTTCATGGGAAATTCATGGAGGCGCTAGCCTTTCTCACTTTGGTCACTTGCCAAGTACTGCAGTGCACTGCACTAGATGATTTTACATACAAGACTGTCTTAGTTACTTTTCTCATGGCTAAGACAAAATACTCAGCATCCAAAGTTAAAGGAGGAAAGATTTATTTAGCTCACAGTTTGTAGAGGTTTCAGCCCATAATCAGCTGGCTCCAAGGCAGGGTGGCATGGCAGAGGGCCATCATAGAGGAGAAACAGTTCAGGGCAGGTAGAAGGTAGCAAAAGAGCAAGCAGTAAGCAACAACAGTAGCCCTCTTTCTGTCCCTTGTATTTTATCCAGGCTACCCGCCCTAAGGGTGGGCTCACACGGGGGTGGGGCTTCCAGTTATCCACAGCCAGGACTATGCTAAACCAGTCAGTGGACAAATTTGGTAATCACACACCTTTCATCTCAGCATCACACACTCGAGGTCCAGCCACCTCTGAAAAGCCCCACCAATAACCGCATGAGGCTTTGGGAGGACGTCTAGATACAAGCCATAACAACGACTGTATTTCATTTTCATGGCTGTGTGTAATTTGTGTTGAGATAGGGTCTCACTATGTAGTCCAGACTGATCTCAAACTCACAAGCCTCCTGCCTCAGCCTCCCAAGTGCTGGGATCACAGGCATGCACTACCATGCCCAGCTTGTAATTATTCTTTGTTCCCATTTTGAGATGAAGATAGTGAAGCTTAGAGGGTTGGAATAACTTGATAAGGTCACAAGAAATAACTAAGGAGAGCTGTGATTCAAGGCTTCCCCATGGCACAAGGAGGAAGTGCTGTCTGCATTCTACCTTGGTCACTCCAGTGCCGTCCACTTCCCTGCCTTCGGAGTACCAGCTCTGTTTGACTTCTTGACAAAAGGGATCAAATCCCATCGGTAGCAATGGCTTTGGGATGTGTTGGAGAGAGAGTAAAACCTCATGCTCTTGTGGGGAGCATTAAGGAAGGTTTTAAACCCCCAAAAGGATGAGTAATAGGATTCTGACCTGGAGCATGGTAAGCAGGAAGGTTTTGAAAAAGACAGAGGCTTTTCCGGTCCCTTCCTATAGTGCAAGGAGACCAAGGCCCAGTAGGTGGCAGCAGAGAACCAGCCAGTGACTAGCAAGGTCATAAGGATGCAAATTCTAACCGTGGGGCAGAAGTAGCAGAGCCCTTTGAGTTGGGGCCAAGGAGTAAGGGGTGGGCAGTCTCACAGCAACAATTTACTTTATTATTGCTAAGCATATTTATCTGTATCTGTGCCAGATACTGTACCGAGAAGGAAGCTTTCAATTCTCACGATGAACCTGGAACAGAGATCAGCCCCATTTTTAGATGCTCGCATGAGGCTTTCAGAGGTTTGTTTTGTTGCTCAAGGGCACATGGACTGAAGAGACAAAGTTCAAGCAGTTTGGACTCCAGCCTCTGGTGTTCGCCAGTGAAAAACCAGCATTCACCTGGAAGTGCTGAGGTGGGGAGCAGGCAGGACTGACTTAGGCTGGCTGTGACTAGGAGCCCGGTCAGGGGAAACTTCTGGGAGCTCTAGGAGACAGGATGTGGTAGGATTTTCAGGCTAAAATTTCTATGAAGCTTTCCTTGAAAAAGTGACACACACTTTGTCTTGGTCATGTAACCCTGAAGGACCAGGCACCTCAAATGCCACAAACCAAAATTCCAAGGAGGTGCATGTGAAAAATCGGATCAGGGTTCCCTGCCTGAGTTTCAAAAGGCAAACTAGGTGGAGAACTGGTCACCTGACAGGCTGCGTATGGCCAGCATGCTGACTCTGACGTGGACCCCTTCCGGGGACAGGACAATGACAGCTGCCTTGCCGTCTCCACCATGGAAGAAGGCAGGGCATCCTCACATTCCCTGAACCAACTCACACCAGCAGAGGACTCGAGTGAGACCTTGCCCTGAGAGCCAGGTCAATGTCTTCTACGGCCACCAGTCCTCCACGACCCGTGCTAGTTGGAGAGCCCAGCTTAATGCAAACCCTGGGCTTCTCAGTTCAGGACTACTGTCTTCCTTCCAGACACAGTCACCACCAGGGCTTTCTGAGAATCACCAGGCATAAGCCTGAGCTTCAGGCTGAAGTTGCTTTCTTCAAATCTGTTGACACCAAAGGCTGTATTCTTGCCAGTTTCTGTATGAAATCTCCTGAGCTAGCCTCAGTTCTGGAAACCCAGATTACTTTGTGGTTCATTGTTCTACCTCAGGGCTTTGCACTAGTTGTTCTGTCTGACGTGTTCTTCTTCCGCCTGTTCAGCACCGCCCCGCCCCCACTCCGGCTCTGGGGATTGAACGCAGGGCCCGGCATATGCTAGGCAACCACTCTGCGGGGCCACACCCCTCGCTCTTCTTCCTCCATCTTTTCATGCCTGCCTCCTTCTGATCTGGATCTCAGTTTACAATTTCCCTCCTTTTCAGAAAGATTTTCCCTGTCTCTCCTAAAAAAGAAAAAGAAAATCAATCCTTCTTTCACTGGTCCCTTATCAATTCCAGTGACAGCTGTCCCAGCATCCAGTTTCCGGCAGGCTGACACCGCTCTCCCACAGGACAGCTCTTCCCCATAGCTCAACACAGGAACTGGAAAGTCAGTGGGTCTGAAAGGAATGGAGCCCCAGATGCTATGCGGCCATTTAACCCAAGCCCTCAGCTAGTGAAGACTCTCGCACTCCTTCATTTTACTGGGGGTTTTGCTTTAATTTTTGTCAATGATGGTTATGGAGACATAGCAACAAGTGACTATCACGTCCCATTAAAAGGCTTGTGGGCTATACACATTTGACTCATAGGGTAGAAGCAGCCCTGATTTGTTAGATTTTTAACTAGATCATATTCCACCTTGGAAAAGAAAATTTCATGTCCCTTGTAAATGATTTTTTGTTGTTGTTGTTGTTGTTTTCCAGTACCGGGAATCGAACTCACAACCTCATGCTTGCCAGGCAGGCGCTGAACCACTGAGCTAAATCCCCAGCCCTCATGTCCCTTGTAAACACATGGAAACTCACTGTTGTCAGTGGACAGCCACCCCAGGACCATCGCAAAGAAATCAGGACGCCCAACTTAGAAGATTTCAGGGATCTTCTAATTCTTCTTCTTGAGCAGGGAGTGTGGGACTCGATTATCTCCAGACCTGAACCTACAATCTCTTAAGCTTTTTGAGGTAGAGATGAGAGGGGATATAGGGCTCCTGGTTAAATCTGGATTTCAGACAAAGAAAAACATAACTTTTTTATTGTGTGTCTTGATGGGAGACATTTATATTAAAAATCTTTCGTGGACGTAGTTACACTAAAAAACTATTCATTTTCTATCTGAAATTAGAATTTCATTGGGAATTCTATACATTTTTTCTGGCCACCCTACAGAGGAGCTAACTCTTAACTAACAGCTTCCCTTAAGATGAAGCTTTCAGATTGGGGAAAACAAAGGCCACAGTGAGCTGTGATTTTTTTTTTTTTTTTTTTTGAAGGGTGAGATGAAGTTGGTTTCTTTCATGCCAAATAAGCAATCACAGACGACTCCGTCAGGAGTCCAAACTCATGACTATCATGGGACTCAAGATCAAGAAAAAAAATTTTGTTTAAGATTAAGAGTCAGAGAAGCAATCTTCACACACACACAGCCAAGCCCAGTCAGCAAGTGAAGGGCTATCTCGTCAAGAAAGGTAAGAACATCGCTTCTCTCTGGAATCTTAGTCCTATTCTCTCAGAGCAGGATGGGGCGATGCTGGCGGACATTCCCGCTTCCCTCGGTGCCTTCACTGTCCGCAGGATTTCTCCTCAATGTTTATAAACCTCCAATCTCTGAGGGCCCACAAAGGCTCCCCTGTGACTGCCAGCAAGAACAGGAATTATTCCAGAGATAAACACTCTCTCTGCTCAGGATGTATTCATTTTTGCGGGGGTAGATTTTTTATTTATTTATTTATTTTTGAGACAGGGTCACACTGTGTAGTTCTTGATGGCCTTGGACTTACTTATGTAGCCTAGGCTGGCCCCGAAGTCACAGTGATCTTCCTGCCTCAGCCTCCAAGTGCTGGGATTACACGTGTGTGCAACTATGCTTAACATGCTGGGTGTATTCCGTCACTTGAAGGAGTGCTTCTCTTGGTTTGAGGGGGGTGAGGGGACATTTACTTTCCCTACACTGTTTCCCAAGGCTCTGAGCTTGAGGTATAGATGTACAAAAACAGTTTAAAGCAGAATTGAGTTTCTTGTCTGTAATTTGAACAGAGGGCTTACCCCCACGTTATCCACCTGAGATGATCATCGAGTTCAACTGTAATTTTATTTAAACGTTTGGGAAGGACAGTTACACATAAATTGGTCCCAGTGGAAATGTGTCACATGGTGAAATTCCCCACTTTGTTCTCCCATTCTCCCTGTTGTTCAAATTGGAGCTCATTAAGATAACTGTATGGGGATTAGAACTTTAATAGTCACAAGAAAAGTAAGAGGGAGAAAATTACACAACAGCAAGGAGAGAGGCTTCCACTATTGACTTTTAATGAGGTCACTTTTATCATGAGCACTATGGTTCATGAGTTTGTTGTTGTTATTGTTCATTTGTATATATTAGAGTTTCTTTCTTTCTTTCTTTCTTTCTTTCTTTCTTTCTTTCTTTCTTTCTTTCTTTCTTCTTTCTCTCTTTTTAGCTCTTTGTCATAAGGCTTGAACCAGAAAGAAGTTGAAGTTGATTTAGGTGGGAAGAAAAGAAACTGTTAGACAACGTCAGGTCCAGGGCTTCCTGGGTGATGTGCATATGGACAAACCGAGGCGCAGGTACAGCGGTTTCCCTTGTTGGAAGGTGGACTTGGTTATGTTTTACAGCACATATTTGCAGCACAAAACGGGCACAGACGTTGGAGGCAGCTGGCACAGGTACCTGTCACATCTTAGTTCTTAGTTCATCTTCTCCTTTCCCCAAAGGATGCTGTGCTCGCTGCCTCACGCCCCATATCACACTCTAGGAAATGCGTTTGTCTCATCACAGCCTCTGTTTGTTCAGGTATTAATACCAAACAGCAACCTGTGAGAGGAATTACTTCTCCTGTTAACATTGCTCTGGGTCAGGCAAATTAGAGAGTGAATAAAAATCCTCTTTTTCTCTAAAAGTGTATAGGATGGAGTCAAGTTAAAGGCAAATTAAAGTCAATTATTTTTTGGCCAAGTAATAACCTCCCTTGAAAGTTTTTTGTTTTGTTTTCATCTGTATTTTCTTCTTCAAACTTACTTTTCCATTAGTGGAAGAGTTAGAAGCCTAAGCTACGAGTACTGCTAAAGGCCCTCAGGTAAGTGCAGAAGTAGGTACAAATCCTTTCAGAGAGAAACCAGGGGTCCTCCTGTCAATACTGGTTACCTGGCAACAACATCTTTGCAGGTCTTCATGAAATAGCAGGTGGGGTTCACTGAATTTACTAAATGGTGTCCATGTGTCCCGTCAGGTGTGTTGTGCTCTCACCCCAAGATGCCACGAGTAGACGGTCACTTCAACTATGGTTATCCCGGGAAGGGGCATGGCCACGCTTACATCACACCCGAAGCGTAAGTTCGAAACCAGACCTAGCACGGTTCCCAGTCTGCTGTTTGCTGGCAGAGCCTGCTGACTTCCACCTCTCCCGGCCATTTGTCAGTGTCCCTTGTGTTTATTTCCCCAGGGAGTAAAAACCATAGCAACAAGGGGAAGAGACTTCTGGTTTTACAAAGGACTCACTGGGGTTTCTCTGGGGCCAAGCCGGCAGTAAGAAAGGAATGATAAAAAGTTGGATCTTTCTATTTTTGTCTGCATTCAGAGCTATTGAGACTTATTAGCCATAGATCCCCAAAACTTCTGCCTGGCATAAAGATGCTTCTTTCCTCAAACCTTATTCGTCAACTCTTCTGAGGCTGCTGAAGGTGCCTGGCGCACAGAATGAAGCTAAGTTGCCAAAGAGCCTGTGTAGATGAGGGCAGGTGTGCGGAACTCAGCCTGCAGACTAACTCCAGGATGAAGATGGTGCCGTAACTGTTGTACTGTAACTTTACAGAAAGGAGACCACGTCATTAATAAGAATTAATCAAAAACAAGAATGTAAATGACTAGCATTTTTATGGTGCTATATAAGAGTCCAAGACACATACTGCTTTTATCATTGAAAAAGCTAATAATCCAGCGGGAGAGTTGGGCAAGAAAATAACTTTAGCAGATGTAAGTGTTGGCTGAGCGTGCTGGGCAGCACACACCTATAATCCCAGCATCCTGGGAAGCTGAGGCAGGAGGATTGCAAGTTTGAGCCCAGCCTGGCAACTTAGCAATTTAACTGTCTCAAAATAAAAATAGGGATGAGGAACACAGCTCAGTGAGGAGGGCCCGGGTTTAGTCCACAGCGTAACCCCTGCCCCCCCAAAAAAAAGAAGAAAAAGAAAGCAACAAATAAACAAAAAGAAAAAAGAAGGAAGGAAAAGAAAAACTAGTGCTGTTCAGGGAACACACAGAGACTGTAGGACACTCTGGGCGCACTAGGAGTGGGGCGGGGTGTGGCGGTGGGAGGGAGTATGGAGGTAGGACAAGGGGTTCTATTTTCTGAGCAGGGACTTCCACAGGATAACAAGAAATCGGGTTTTTATTTGGACTATGTTTCCCATGATCTGATCAGAATGCACTGTAGACCTGCTCTCCTTTTGGAAAAAGTCACTGAAAAACCTTAAATGGACCAATTAGCAGGGACAAACAAGTTGTAGAACCCATCAAAGGTGCTAAGACAGAATCCAGGCTGACAGCATTTCCTCCGAAGACTATGTGGGAATTCTTCCATACTGCGGTGTGGGGAAGAAACGGGGCTGGTTCTATCTGCTAACAAACATTCTTCAAGAGTGAAAATAAACTTGGGGAGGGCCTATTGCCTATGGTGTTAGTTAGGATACTGTTTCAGTGTCTGCAGGATGACCTAACAGAGTATTCTTTGAGACCTAATTTTATTTACCTGTCAGGTGACAGTCCAATGTTCATTAATTTCCTTCTCTCTGTCACTCCCCTGAGACACCGTCTTTGTTTACACAGTCGAAGATGATACATCATCAATGCCAAATCTCACCCACAGAAAGGGGAGACAAAGACAGGGCTGGGACCATACCTCTCAGGTGACATGCACCACCTCTGCTCGCCCCTCACACGGTCACACTCACCCTGGTGCATATCACCCTTGCTGTGTTGCAGATGAAGAAGGACTCAGAGAAACTAGGAAATATACAACTGGACATAGTGATACTGTGGTTTCGATACGACTCTGCCTGTGAAGCATTATGCTATAGGTCAGCTGAACTCATATTTATACAACTCCAGCCAACACCAGGCAAGGGTGGAGGTCAGAATCTCTACCATGAAGCGGAAGGCTGGGAGTAGGAGGACGTCAGCTCAGGAGGCCATTCCGTGCCATAAGCAAGGGGCCAGGTGGCTTCACAGCCTAAGCAGAGTGATTCTCAGGGTCTAGTTGGGAAGACAGAAAGCAACCAGGCATTTCAACTTCCGTATAAGAAGGCATTTCTACCTGGCTGGTTCCGGAGCCTTGGGAGCTTGGAGGTGGGGACGCTGGCCAGCTAGTGCGGAGCATAACAAGGCATTTCTATTTGGCTATTCTAGGAGTGAGATGCAGAGCTGGTGGTTGGGACTGGCTGTGAAGAACTGTTGGTGGGGTGCTCCTAACCAGAACAAGGAGCAAACTGGAAAGAGCAGCTCTTCCCGGTCTTGAGGCCTCCCTCCTTCAGCCTTTTCAACTCCCTCTAGGGGCTCTAACGGAAGTCAGTGGGCAGAGGAGAAGGGAGGTTTGCAGAGTTCCTCCCCCGCACAGCATAGGAAGGTGGGCTTGGAAGTCGGTGACAACGCTGAATTAGGAGCTCATGGCGTTTAATACCATTGCCGTGGAAAGGAACCCCTGGACGGAAGGCCTGGCATTCTGTGTTTTGCTTGCTAAACAAAGTGCTCATGTAAATTCTCTGGCATCTTCCCTGAAATACAGGGGAGCCTCTAGCTTCTAGAGAAAATGTATCAATTTAACCTGCATGGTAGGAGCTGTCCCTCCAGAGGCAGAATGTCATTTCAACAGCTAAACTGCCCACACTGTGATCTCTTAATCTCAGTCCGCAAGAAGGAGCCACTGAGTTCATGGAACATCATGATTTTGTGCAGGTTAGTGAAAGAGATCAATCCAGAACGTAACTGTGCACCAATATTCTCTCTTGAAAGGTCTCTGCTCATAGATAAATAGGAAGTAGGGACAGGTTCAAATAATTCTCCAAATTACCTATTCCGTTGTTTCAAAAGTATTTTAATGATATGCTAATTTGCTTCATTTATGCTCCTAGTTTTTCTTAATTTTTTGAAAAGAAAGTTTTGTGCTAATACCTGTTTGTTTCTTCTTTGTAAAAGAGCATCTTTTTTTGCCTATGTCTTATACTTTGACTAACTACTTTGAAGATAAAGATACATAGTGTGTTAACTATTGTCATGCTCTTTCAAAAAAAGAGAAAACTTTGATTTTAAAAAATAAAAGAACCCTGTTCCAGTAAGGGAATAGGGACATCTACATTGGAGCAACACGTCTCTGAAATTTTTGAAGACAGTTATCCTCCTTCCAATCTTGCCACCAGACAAACAAGGAAGAACAATGTGTAGTGAATCCCCATACCTCGTCCAAAGGGCAACCCATCTGCCTTGAGTGTGACCTACCGTTTCGAAGGCTCAGGAGATAGAGATTCTCACAGTTCACCGGGCATGATCATCTAGGGAGCTTGCTTATGTGTAGATTTCTAGGTGCTGCACTCAAGAGTCCGAGCTGGCAGGTCAGGGGTGGAGCCCACGGACCTGCACTTTAATTATCATTGCAGGTAACTCTGCTCCACTTTAATAAGCATTGCAGATGACTGCTGCGGTGCAGGTGACTCTCTGAGGACCCCAGCCAAGCCGGGCAGGGGATTATTCTGGTGCATCTGGCATTCCGTGGTGTTTTACGCTCTCAGTCTTTGGGTGTGTTGTGAGGACAACGTGACCTTGCATAAAGAGCTGGAACAGAGCTCTGTGTGTGTCAGGAAGTTCAAAGGCAGACCACAGAGTCAAATTGGAGCACAGGCGCTCTGGGAACTGGGTCAGATGTCTTCAGTCACGAGAGCCCTTGAGCCCTCCCGTCACAGCTTCATTTTAAGAAACAGTAGATTTTGCAGGACAAGCACCAGCCTGGGAGACAGGAGACCTGGTTCTGGCCCAAATTCTAAGCTCCCTTGGCTGGTGTCCAGTGCCAGTAACTGTGAATGCTGGCCCTGCCACGTACTGGTTGTGCAACCTTGCCTAGTTTCCAACCTAATGTGGGCTCTGAAATGAGCACCACACACGGCTCGGGATTGTAGTGAGGATAAAATAAGGCATGCATGTGTGGTGCTTAGCGGAGTGTCTGGCACAAGTTGGTGCTGTGTCACTGAGGTGGTGGTAGTGCTGATGCATTTCAGTGGGTCGCAGCTTCTTGAGCTATGGAATGGGTAGACTGGCCTACATAATTGGGTCAGAACTCACACGTAGCATTGCCATCTTGTTCTTTCCATTCCGTTTGGGGTTGGACGTAACATAACAGCTTTGAGTCTGTAGCCTTGAGATTGTCTAGTAGGTGGCCCTGGGCAAAATTTTCTCCAGAAGGCTTTGTTCAACCTTGCTCTTTTCTTATAAATTTCCTAGCTCTGCAGAGCTTTCTTAGCAAGTTCTCAGGCACAGGTAGCATGTAATATTATGAACTTTCACCATGCTGTGGAGTGGAAAATCAGGCAGGTGCTGGCTCGTTGACAGCTTCATGCAGGCAATACATAGTTCCAGCCTCTTCCCAACCTTTATGGTAACTGCAATGCTTCCCAGGGCGATGGACACAGGGTCCAAGAGGATGACCCAGATCCCCAGCAGGTTGGCATTCTGATGCTTAGGACCAGATCTGTCTGCAGGAACTCTATATCTTTGTTCTGGTTTCACTCAGATTCTTCTCCTCAGGGTTGCATGGGCTGAGAACGGTTTTGGGCAGAGATTGTCCTACCTCGGTCTTGCGATAGCTCTGGATGACCAGCAGCAAGCCATTTAACCTCTATCTTTATTTCCTAATCTGTGAACCTGGGATGATGAATAGTGTGAACCTACCAGGGTTATTATGAAAATTAAAAAAGCCAGTGCATGTGCGATGGTTCGCATAGCACCTGGCTTATAGTAGATGCTCAGTCAGTGTTCATTTCTCTTTCCTTGCTCTGTGCTGAGATGGAGAAGATGCTGTGAACCAACCCCGATGAGAAGAAAAGATACGCTCAATAAAGCCCGAATAACTATATTGTCCCTGTGAGGATCAGTTAATAGGATCCTTGCAGCTGGCAGTGCTGGTGTGGGCACAAACTGGGAGGCTTCTCCATCAGAATCGGTGCCAAGATACAGGAGCTGGAGGTCTGGGGCGGCTCCCCCATCTAGAGGGTGGTGGTGTGTGTGGCAGACTACTCATATAGTGGGACTATATGAGGAAAGAAGACGACTGATTTATGTTTCTTGACACTATGGAACAATATTTCTGTCCCTAATTGGATGTGTGTGTCTCTGCCAGGGCTGCAGGGATTGGCATCCTGACAGTGATCCTGGGAATTTTACTGCTCATTGGCTGCTGGTACTGTAGAAGAAGAAGTGGATACAGAACCTTGACGGTGCGTGGAGTCCTTCAGATCCAGGACCCCTGCTTTCCACTTCCTCTGAATTTCTGGGGAGAAGGATAACATTCTCATGGTCCCCTGTAGTTCTAATTCTTGCTTCTGATGAACTTTTTTTTTTTTTTTTTTTTTGAGACAAGGTCTCGCTGTGTAGTTCAGGCTGGGCCTGAGTTCACTATGTAGCCAGGCGGGCCTCGAACTCGCAGTGATCCTTCCGTGTCAGTCCCCCTAGTGTTCGGATTACAGGCTGCACCACCACGCCCAGCTTCTTTCAAGCAACTCTTCCTTTGCTTCTGCCCAGATATGAGTCCTACCCAAGAACTTGCCTCTTCTCTTTGGCTCTACTCAAAGCAAATTTAAGTGGCTGGTTGCCATGTGCAGCAGAGTACCAATGGTTTGTAGGGCAGAGGAGAAAGGGTTTGTGGTCCCCTTAACAACAGTATTTTAGAATCCTTGGGTCTTAGCAATTCTAGAGATTATTGTTGATTCTGTTATCCCATTTAGTGGCATGCCTCTCCTTCCTTGCCTGCTCACATCTCCTGTCCTAGATTACCTACGAACTTCAAATTCTTCTAATTCTGTCATACTAAGTAGTCCAGGCTACCCAAGACCCCTGTGAACATCAGTACAGTGAGAGAACTGTCCTTCCTTTCAGCAGTACAAAGCATATTTATTTCTTTTCACTGGCCCCCATCCTCCTTAGGTAGCTAACGTTTAACATATCTTTTCATTCTGTACCCACATAACCAGGAAGCTAACACAACAACACGGTCTATTCATCGGGCACCGGGTTCTCCCAGTGAGTGGGACACATCAATCAAGCCTATAGGCTATAAAAAACTTTAGGTTTCAGCAAACTCACTTCAAAGCCAGGTAGTACTTTAACACTGAAGCATCCAAAGGCATTCTCCAAGGTGAGGCTGCAATGAAAGGAGAGTTACAATTTTCTCTCTTCTTATCACAGATGTGAGAGGTTTTCAGGTTGCTGCGTGATGCAAAGCTGTCATCACAGGAGATCTTGGAAAGTCCCACTCCTCATGTGGCACACACTTCATTCGGAAGAGGCTCTGGGAAGGAGAGGAGTGCTGGTGTGGGTGGAGGGCAGGAGTACGGCAATCTGAAGAAGGGAAAGGGATTTAGCTTTTCAGGGCTGGGGATTTAGCTCAGTGGCATTGCGCCTGCCTGGCAAGCGCAAGGTTGTGAGTTCGATACCTGGTACCGGAAAACAAACAAACAAAAAAAATAAAAGAGGCACTTTCCAATTTTTCCCTCCTTGCCAAGAAACTAGGCAGTTTGTGTTTCCCTTTCTCTAATGCCTTACTAGAGTGTGCAAAAAACAAAACATGAATGGTTAGGCAGATTGGAGGCTGACACACCACCAAGAAGAGCCTCTGGTATGTCTGTATTTCATGAGAACAAGCAGAAGATACTGAATCAGAACAAGAAAACTTCAAACCAACACTGGAGGAAAGCTTCGACTACAAGGTTAAGGACAGAACCCCTGATTTTATGACATTTCTCCGTGGTGGTCCACAACAGGTTAGCAGGGGAAGGGCTTTGTTTTCCATCCCAGAACTCTACTTGTAGCTCTAGCATGGAGTAATGACATCTTCTAACTGGCTGGTTACCGTTTACCTCTTCCACCTACTCTTTGCCCCCATGCATGAACCAGGACATTGTACGTCCAGTGCTTAGTACAGAGCCTGACACATGGCAGTTACTCAGTCATGTGGCATTGGGATTTGATCTCATTGCCTACCACTGACTTGCTTGGAGACCTTAGATTTTTAATTTCTCTAAACCTCATCAGCTTTATTCTACACACACAGAGACATGGTGGAAACATGATATAACACAGCCAGTTTTTATTTAATATACTTTAAAAATATTTTTTTATCATATATTTGCATATCAAAAATACAATGATTTAACCTTTCAAAAAAACATGCTATAAAAACTCATTAGGTTGGTGTTCGCTTCCCAATCATCCATAATTATTAGGTTGATGCTTGATTTTTCTCCTTTATGCTTCAATGTTCTCATTTTAAATTCATTCCATTTGAAGAGTAGCAGAGAGTTAATAGAGTTAATAGAGTTCAGACACTGTGAACATTTGATTAGTAAAATTTAAGTTCAACCTACCATGACTCAATTACTCCAGATGTAAATCAGTGATTCAGAGTGTTTCTGGAATTTTTATGAGACAGAAATGTGTTTAAATTTCCTGGTTCTTCAGTATTTAAATACTCTGTCACATTAATTTTTTAAATTAACATTAAAATTTGTTTTGAAATTGGTATATCTCCAGGAAAGAGAGCAACAACTGTTGGAAATCAACAGTCTAAGAAATTTAGGCAAAATAATGTATAATACTGCATTTAATTACATTATTACCTCTTCTCTCTCTTTGGTGATTCTATTCCATTAAGCAGAAAAACATAAATAATAAATACAAGTTTTAGGTACCTGAAGCTTAGCAATTTTAACTAAAGTTTGAAAAGCATACGTTCCAACTTGCATTAACCACAGAATGGTAACAAGGTTGTTTAAAATTTAGATTGCCTAAAATTTCTTTCTTAGTTACCAGTTCTCCTGAATGCTGAAAAACATGTTTTAAAAGGAGACATTGATTTTTGAAGCAACACGTTTTTGTAGCAAAAAATGGAAAGTTACTTATAAGAAACTGGAAGTTGTTTTTTACATTTACCAGTTTTACATTTTCACCTGGACATTTAGGGCATACTTTTTGGGTGTTTTTTTTTGTTTGTTTGTTTTATTAGAATTTTAAGGCCCTGGCTAACAGCTCAATTTATATTGATGTCTCATGGTATCAAGTTTCTGAAGGCGTGGTCGCAGCCACCCGCACTTACTAACATGCAGACTCTGAGGCCGTGTCTGGTTAGATGCAGGAGTCAAGTCCCTAATATACACACTGAGTGTGAATGTAAATGCGGAGAACTAGCAGTGGACTGTGAGTGGCTCACATTCATACCTGATGAGAGATGACAGTTTTCTTTCTTCCCAATTGGTATGCCTTTTATTCCCTTTTCTTGGAGTATTGCATTAGCTAGGACTTCCAGTATAATATTGAAAAAGCAGCCAGGAGAGGGTACATCCTTGTCTAGTTCTTGACATTAGTTGGAGTTTCACTTTTCTCATTAGGTATGATGTTAGCTCTAGACATTTTTAGATATTCTTCAGCAAAGTCAGGGAAGTTTCCCTTTATTCCTAATTTCCTGAGAGTTTTAAATTGTGAATGGATGTCAAGTGCTTTTCCTGCATCTGTTGATATGATCATGTTTAGTTTATTGATGTAATGAATTAGAATCATTAATCTTTCAATGTTGAACCAACTTGGCACACCTCGAATAGATCTCATTTGCTCATGGTGTATAATTCTTTTAGATACTGTTAATTTGATATTTTCTTCAAAGTTTTTGCATCAATGTTCTTCTCTTGTAATATTTTTTTCTAACTTTCATCTTAGGATAAAACTGCCCACATAAAATGAATTTTAAAATGCTCTCTGCTTCTATCTTCTTTTTAGAATTTTGAAACTTGTTTTATTGTCACAGTAAGTCCATCAGTTAAATACCTTTATGCTCATTTTATATATGAGAAAGCTGGGGGGAACAAAGTTTAAAAAACTTATTCAAAGTTGAAGTAAATATATTCTCAGTGCTTCTATCTTCTGAACCCACGGCCTTCACATTGAGCTACATCTCCAGCACTTCCACTGCTGCTTTAAAAAATTTTTTTGAGATAGGTTTGCATTAAATTGCCTGTACTGGTCTTCAACTTATGATACTCCTGCCTTAGCCTCTGAGAGTTCTGGGATTATAGGTATACACCATCACACTTGGCTCAATTATTTTCTTCTGTGACTTTTGGCAGATTACTATATTTCATCTAAGTTTTTAAATTTGTGGGCATAGATCTGTTTATAGCTTTCTTGGGATATCCTCTTCATGTTCTGTAGTTATGTCTATGTTTTCATTTCTGATAGTAGCATCTGTTTTTTTCTTTGCCTAGCTTGGCTAAAGGCTTATCTTATCTTTTATAAGAACCAGTTTTTGCTTGTTTTGGTTTTCTCTATTAATTCCTTATTTTCAATTTCATTGATTTTTGGTGGTTTTGGCTTACATGGAGATGTTCCCTCAAAGTCTCATGTGCTCATAGGTGGGGCTGTCGGGAGATGGCTGGAGCACGGGTGTGTGATACTGGAAATGGCTGTGTGATAATCACTGGATAATCACTGACTATACCCACTGATTGGTTTACTGCAGTTCTGAGTGTGACTAATGGGAAGGTCCACCTTGGGTGGCACCAGACTTATAACCTGAATGGCATAAAAAGGGAAAGGAAGTTTGCTGCTTACTGCCTCCAGCTTTCCACATTATGGACTGTTTCTCCTTTGCTATTCCTCTCTGCCATACTGTCCTGCCTTGGAACAAGCTGACTATGGATTTAAAGCACTATAAACTGTGAGCTGAAATAAACCTTCCCTCCTTCAACTTGTGTGTATAGGGTATTTTGTCCCAGCCACAAGAAAGTAACTAAGGTACTTGTCTAACTTTTATTTCTTTTTTTCCTGCTTACTTAGGATTTAATTTACTTTTTATAATTTTCCCAAAGTTGAAGCTTAAGTGGTGGATTTTAGGTCTTTCTTCTTTTCTAATACAGGCAATCAGTCTTATAAATGTCCCTTTAAGTGCTGCCTTTACTATATCCCACAAACTCTGATAAGTTATATATTCAACTTCATTTATTTTGAAATATTTTCACATTTCTCTTGAGAATTTTTCTTTGACCCCTGTGTTTTCTTAAAGAATGTTACTTAATCTCCAAGTATTTGGGTATTGTTCAGATAGCCATCTTTCTGTTTTTTATTTCTAGGTTAATTCCATTCAAGTCTGAGAGTAAACAATGTATGATTTCTATTCTTTTAAATTTGTTAAGATGTAGTTTATGTGGCTCACCTTGATGCATGAGTGACTTTTCTATTGCTCAGACAACATACTGGACACCATAACTCAAGGGAGGAGAGCTGTATTTGGCTCACGGCATCAGAGAGTTCAGTCCATAGCTGGCTGGGTCAAAGGTAGAAGAAGCAAGGGGGAAGGGCATGGAGGAGGAAAGCTGCTCCATTCATGGCAGCCAAGAAGTAGGGAGAAAGAAGAGAGGACCTGAAGTCAAATTTACTTCTCCAGATCATTCCCCAGTGATCCACTTCTTCCAACTAGCTCTATGTCCTAAGAGCACATTCAACTATAAACTCATCAATGGATGAATTGACTGATGACAAATATAGTGCTCTCATGATCAATCACCGTCCAAAAGCCCCACCTCTGAACACATGAGACTTTGGGGGATATTTGATATCTAAATCATAACACTTAGTAAATGTTCCACATGAGCTTGGGAAGAATATGTATTCTGCTGTTGTTGGATAACAAAAGTATATAGGTGTCCATTATATGTAGCTGATTGATGGTTTTGGTGGGCTCAATTATGTCTTTACTGAATTTTTGTCTGTTGGACCTGTCTACTTCTGGTAGAAGTATGTTGAAATCTCCAACTATAATTCCAACTACACAGTGGATGTCAATGGTATGTCCTTGACGCTGTAAGTTATTATCTCATACATTTTGTTGCTTTGTGTTTAGGTACATGCATGTCCAGTACTATGATGTCTTCTTGGAGGATGAACCCCTTTATCATTATTTAACGCTGTCTTTATCCCCAATCTTACTTTGTAGCCTGCTCGTTCTGAAAGGAACATAGCAACTATCACTTTCTTTTGACTAGTGTTACCATGCTATATCTTTCTCAATCCATTTGTTTTTGTGTGCCTTTTAAAGTGAGTTCTTATATATAACACATAGTTGGAGCTTGTGTTTGATCCACTGTGATAATCTCTATTAATTGATGTATTTAAATCACTGACTTTCAAAATGATTATTGACATAGTGTGATTCTTATCTACCATAAATATTACTGTTTTATATATTTTGCCCTTGTTATTTGTTCCTATTTTCTTCTTCCACTCTTTTTCTACCTTATGTGCTTTTAATTTTAGATGATTTAATTTTTCTCTTTTTATATATCTTTCCTTTAAGTTTTTTTTAAATGGTTACTTGCCTTAGAATTTAAAATATGCACTTACAGTTAATCAAAGCCCACTTCACAGGTAGTAGGAGTATTTGTAATAACAAAACAATACTAATTATCCTTTCTATCCCTTTGATCATTGCTGTCATTCATTTCATTTCTATATAAGCATACATAATCAAATACATTGTTGTAATTATTATGTGAACAAACTATATAAGTTAGATCAATTAAAATAAGAGAAATAAAAATGTTTATTTTATCTTCATTTATTCATTCTTCATTTGTGTTCTTTTCTTTATACACATCTGAGTTTCTGACCCATATTATTTTCCTTCTTTTTAAAGAACTCTTTAACATTTTTTGCAGTTAAGTCTACTGGCAACAAACTTTGTCAATATTTGTTAAGAAAGTCTTTCTTTCTTCTTTTTTTTTTTGTGCTGGCAAATCAAACCTAGGGCCTCATGCATGCTAAGCTGACACTTTATCACTGAGCTACATCCCCAACCCTCCTCCTTCATTTTAAAGGATAATTTTGCAAAATGTTCATTTGTATATTCACTCTTCTCCCTCCTTTCAAAAATATTTATTAAGAGTGGGGTGTTAGGCATTGTAACTAGTGCTTTACCTTTAGTTAATTCCCACAACTCAGAGAGGTAGATATCCTGCTATTACAGATGCAAAAGTTAGAATTAAGAGGTAAATTAACTAGCCTGAGCATACACAGCAAGTAAGTGGCAAAACCTAGTTAAAATCTATTCTTAAAACTTTGGCCTCCTTTCTTTAATGGACTCAGCTATTTCTTCTTACCTATTCACTTTAATACATTATATTTCAGGACAAAAGTCTTTGTGCTGGTGCTCAGAGTACCTTACAAGGAAGATGCTCACATGGAGAGCTTGGTCATCAGGACACCAAACTATCTTCTCAAGACAAAAATTGTGAACCTCTGGTAGGTCGAGATGATGCCTCTGGGTATTTTCACATATGGCTGCTTTCAGTTCAAGTGAACGATGTGATTTTCCTTGAAAAGCAAGGATACTGTTAATGTACTGAATGTCACTAAATTGTACACCTAAAATGGTCAAAATGATAATTTTATAATGCGTATTTTATATTTTATCACAAAAATAAAATAAAAACAAAAGTCAAGGGACACAGAGATTTTCTTGAATTGTGTTCGTCTCATACTCAGATTTTTCCAGAGTATGGGAAAATACTGAGTAAAATATAAAGGAAGAACTTGGTTTTAGACATAATAGCCTTTCATTGTATATTTTAATTACATTTGCCTTTGTTCATCAATGCAAATATAGACAGAAGGAAAATTATCAATTATTAATTAAATAGAGTTGTGCTATCCAATGGGGTAGCTACAAGCCACATGTCATCAAACAGTTGGAACGTATCTTGAGTTAAGATAGATTGTAATACATTACAGTATATGAAAATATAAATAATGATTAATGATTTGTATTTAAGCAAGACTATATCTCAAAATAATTAAATAAGTGGGTTAACTAAAATATCTTATTAATTTTACCTGGTTTTTAAAAATGTTGCTACTAGAAGTTACAAATATATGACTTGAACTTTTTTTTTTTTTTTTTTTTTTTGAGACAAGGTTCTTGCTGTGTAGTGCAGGCTGGTCTTGAGTTCACTATGTAGCCCAGACTGGCTTCAGACTCACAGTGATCTTCCTGCCTCAGCCTTCCGAGGGCTGGGATTACTGGCGTGAGGCACAATGCCTGGCTTTGAACTGCGCTTTGACTAGACAGCACTGGTACAGATGCAGTCTTGCATAATGGCTGAGAGCACTGATTCTTGGCTCAATGCCTTACTAGTTTTGTGACCTTGGGCAAGTGGCAACTTCTCTGTGCTTTAATTTCCCACTCAGCGACATTTTGTGGGATTGTTATGAACATTAACTGCAGGACTGACCTGCTTGTGCTGCATCGGTACTATAAATGTGCCTTTAGACACAGTACCAGGAACTATAAAGACTATAGATAGTAGCGACTATATTAACTGTGAATAGGCTTCAACAATTCACTGGGATTTGGGACTTCTGCTGACACTAATAATCCAGGTATACCTTCACTATTAGATTGTGGGAAAGCCCTTAGTCCTATTTTTTCTCTGGTCTTTTCTCTCCAACAATGTTTCAACATATACATTTGGGTGAGAAATTAGATGTGAATACTTAAAAGTTTCAGTCCGCAGCCAAAGTATAAGCATGCTGTTAACTGATTTGACTTAGCTCCTTCCCAGAAATATACACGCGTTTTCCAAACCCATGTCCTCCTTTTTTTATTACCACAGGTTCCTAATGCTCCACCTGCTTATGAGAAACTCTCTGAAGAACAATCACCACCACCTTATTCACCTTGAGAGCCAGTGACCTGCCTCAGAAAAGCTGAAATAATTTCCCTCACACTTTAGTTTTAATTTAGTACAGACATCTAATATTACACTTTGGGATTCTGTAATAGCAATGTACATCTCTAGCAAGCCAGTGTTAATTTTTTTTTTTTTTTTTGTCTTTTTGAGTCAGGGTTTTACTATGCAGTTTAGGCTGGCCTTGAACGCACTTTGCAGCCCAGGCTGGACTTGAACTTGCAGTGATCTTCCTGCCTCAGCCTCCTGAGTGCTGGGATTACAGGCATGCACCATCACACCTGGTCTAAACCAGTGTTAGATCCTAAATAGAGCAACTAGCAATATGAAGCAAATCAGGAAATAATCAGAAATATTCAAATGAAAAACTTCATCAATAAACATTGTAATACCTGTTCTCTGTGCCAGCAGTAATGCTATTAAACCTTCAACCTCTTATTCTTCAAGGAATGGGTACAACTCAAATGGGTGTTCTGCAATCATCTGATTTTTTTTTAATGGAGATTTTGCTGATTTCCCAAGTATTCAGATTTTTAAAGAAGTGATACCTTGACAAACAGAACTGTGGCAGGTGCTATGAAGTTCTCAGAAAGGAGATTGTCACATGTTTATGACAGAGCCGATGGGACCATGTATCCCACCTGAACAATGTCAACCATGGTTCTTTGGGTTTTAAAGTTCTATGACACTGTAATATACTGCAAAGATCCTATGTCTTAAATAATGCATAGAATGCAGTTCTAATTACATCTTACTTAAAGACTCAATTTTGTCATAACTAATAATAAAAATTTTGTGTGAACCGAAAGTGGTATTAGAATTTAAATAAGTAAATGAGAATGTACCTTGGTCTGTGTTTTGTGTATTGTCTTAAATGGTTCCCTGGCAGCTTAGTTCTTTTTGATTTCCAAATCCTTGTCATAAGAACGTACACAGAAAAAAAGCCACAAATGATCAGAAATTCCGCAGTGGTATAATTAGTTTCATTAATGTTTTGGCCATATCTTCTCCACTTATCCCTTACATAATTTAATTTTTTTCAGTCAGCTTAATAAACTATTTTTGGCTTTTAAAAAAATTTTGGTGGTACTTGGGCTGGAACTCAGGGCCTTCAGGTTGAGCTACATTCCAAGCCCTTATCATTTTTTTGTTTTTAAAGATAGGGTCTCACTAAACCACAAGTTGTCCAGGCTGGGCTCAAACTTGTAATCCTCCCACTTCAGCCTCCCAGAGTGCTGGGATTATAGGTGCACACCAGTGTCTGAGTCCAAAATTTGCATCACCACCCGAAATGGAGCAAATCAGCACATTTTTCATAAGTGTGGGTAACTTAAAAGTTTTTATTAAAATCTAAGAAGATAATAATTGTTGTAGGTAGCTGTAAACCCAAGACCTGCTTTCTTTGTTAAAGAGGGAGATTAACACGAATCAGAGAAAACTTCAAAGCTGCCCTTGACACAGAAGGTTTGCAAGTTTTAAAGAAATGTGTTGTTTAATTCTAAGTCACGAAAACACCTAACATCATCTTGTGTCACAGGAAATATAAGCATAACATTTTCCACCAAAGACAAGATGAGACTGAAGGGAAAAAACGCAGAATAAAAAAGCGACACTGAACAAAATATTAAAATACCTTTCCAACTGTCCAAATGCTGTCATCTGTTACCACTGAAGCTACAATCCCCCCTCTGATCCCTTTTCAAAAAGTGATTTCTAAATGAAGAAAACTCCATCGGGCATTTGGCCACCCTTTCCCCTCATCACAAGACCTCTTCTGGGAGTCAGTCCTCCGCACTGACACGGGGATGTCTGGCTTGAGCTCTAGACCTCTCCAAGACACCAGACTGTCAGCTGCTGCAGCTCTGTCCAGTGTGAGCGCTCTCCTCACGGAATACCTCATGTAGTGTCCCACGTGAGAAAGACAGTGGCTTGGGCTGAGTCCAGCTGGGAGAAGCTAGGAGAGTGAGTAGGAACAGCAGATGTGAGATTCAGAAAGAAGCTGCGTGTGATGGCGCACACCTGTAATGCTAGCACTTGGGAGGCTGAGGCAGGAAGATAGCAAATTTGAGCCTACACTGGGGAATGTAGTAAGACCCTGACTCAAAATAAAAGCTAAAGACGTGGGATGTGACTCAGTGTGAAAGCCCTGGGTTTAATCCAGAGTTCAGGAGGAAAAATAACCTGTTCCTTCACAAGGGTAGCCCCACTTGTGAAGACAACTCACAATGCATTTTATATTTCAAAATAGCAAAAAATGAGTTGGGGCATGGTCTGCCTTCTCCCTCTGGCCAGACTGTCACCTCCATCGAGGAG